GTTGGGGGGGTGTATGGGGGTGTGTGGGGGTGATGGGGGCGGCTATGGGGGTGTTTATGGGGTTATTTGGGGTTCTGGACCCCAGAAAAAAAAAAAACTTGCGGGGTGACTGACCCCCGACCGGTAGGTGCCGACCAGTCTGATAGTCGGCTGGTTGGCCCCCGACCAATCCAGGGCCGCCAACCTTCCGCGTGACTACTCTGTTTGCCATCTGAGCCCATCTCTGCCGATGTCTTAGCCACCGTCAATGGTCTTCAAACATGGGCCCCGTTGCGATTGTTAGAAGTTTGACGAATGAGATTTTGGGACATCATCTGAGCCAAATGTTGCTTGAGATAATCTTTTGCATTGCAGTGATTGCGCATGTATTTTGTTTCTTAAACTTTTTTTTTTTCTTCTTGAGTTTTTTAAAAAGAAAATTGAGATTTTCTGGTGTGCACGCGCCATGTACAGCATGCTCGTGCTCTGCAATTTGCACACCACTTGCCGGGGATGGTAGTTTTCACTAGGGGAGGCTGCAGATTGTACACGCCTGCTAAGCCTGCTCCCTTGTCAGGTCTGGCTGATCGTGTACTATTGTGGCATGTCAGGGTTGGGTGTGCAAGAGGTTTTGGTAAACTTAGGTCGGAAAGAGTAGGAACCGAACTGAAGCTCCCCAGAATGGATATGGAGCCAGAACCTTAAGGTTCTTTTTTTTTTTTCTTTTTTTTTTCCAAAGAGTGGTGGTCCTGACTCCCGAGTCCAAGTAAACCTGAGATGCTGAACCTGCAGCAGGATTTTGCAGTAGTAAGAGAAAGTCACCGTCGTCACCCTACAGAACGCCTGGTCATTATCGCCAGTATCGGGACTGACAGTTGCCCCAAATACACAGCTGTAGTGACTGGGTGTTGTATTTGGGTGAAGATGGTAGCAAAGGGAATCTGCCTCCTGTGACGCGCTTGTGTGTACAATTTGTTACAGGTTGCTGGTTTGCCGACATTTTGACGAAGCAGCGGAACGTGCGACAGCGGCGCTTAGGAGGTCGAAAGAAGCAGAGGGACGGTCTAATCAGGTGTTGCCTTGTGACAGTGACAACCTAGAAAGCCATGGAGAAGGAGGAGGGGGAGGAGGGGGAGGGGGAGGGGGAGCGATCTTGGAGGCATTCTCTCACGACATTAAGGGAGAGGTACAGGTGGAAGGGGGAGCATGTGGTATTTCCAGGACGAGAGTGGCAAAAGTGGCCGAGTGTGAGGAGAACGGAAGGGACGTGGTGGACGGGGAACTGAGCGCGCTTGAAAGGTCTGCAGGGATGGTGATTATTCAAGCTCATCATGAGTCAGGAAGGTAACTTTCTGGATTTACTTACCTGCGGGATGGTTTCACCGTACCTGCGGGAGACCCCTACCCCTTCCCCAAGCACTTTTTTTCCCCTTCTTTTTTTAACCCATGTACCATTCTGTTTTCCTTGACGTGAACGTCGAATGCCTGACACGGTAGTGGGTGGGCCTCACTGTAACACTGTGAAATGGCAGCATCACGTGCCATGGGTCACAGGATGACTGCATACGAGATGGCATGGGGTGCAGTATGACAAGGTGTTAAGTTTTCTTTTTTCTGTTTGTTTGTTTTAGAGGGTTTTTTTTTTTTTTTTTTTTTTTTTTAAAGGGACATGCTCCAATCTATTCATGGGGAGCAGCACGTGCTGGGAACCGGGCCTAGCGTCCCATTCAAGAACACATTGAAGAAATGAGAAGTTTATGAAGAAATCCTTGAGATACTGGGGCCAAAAGACAACTGTGTAATCTACACAAGAACACTGAAATTCTCTGTCCCCCAAAGTTCGGATCAAAGAAGCATTCTGGACGAAAAAACCACCTGCCTTAGGGCCTTTCAGCAGCCCAACCCTACCTGCCTCACCCCTATATCCCGATGCCCAATCTCTACAAGGCCTCATGCCCCCAACTGCTAGGTTTGTAATGAGCCTCACAGCTCACCACACGATGGAGTGTTCACACCAGCATGCATGTCACACAGATTGTATTGTCATGCATTGCACAAGTAGATGATAAGTAGTAGACCAGGTAGCGAAGCTCCAATTCCACAACCAGATTATAGCGAGAGAGTCAAGAGTTGAATTATCCAGCGCTCGACAAGATTACAAGTCTTCTTTGATCAGCAAGAGTCTGGAACCCAGCGCACATCAGCGCTAGACAAGGTAAGTCTCCGCCATAGCTCTCTCTCCTTCCTGTCTCTCACTTGCCTTGGTGTCCCTGGTCTCAACTCTACACTAGTCTTCTCTCTTCACACACATGCCCACTCCCTGCTACTGCACACACATGAGGATCGACTCTGAAGACAACTCACTGGTCCACTTCTACTGACATACTAACCCTACTACTAACTGGCGCTTGGCGCAGCTATGGCTGCCTCCTTCCCTGCCAGCGCCTACTTCCTCTCTCTCATCTCACTCAGCGCTGCTCTCTGGCTAAGCGCAGCTCCCACACTAGCGCACAAGTGCATAAGCACTTCCACATTCTCATGTGAATGAGCATCTCCAAATGGGAGGCTGGCCAGTCTTTTGTAGTGTTGGACTAGCCTCTGGCCGAATTCCCTGGTACCGCATGCCCACTGCCTGTTTGTTGCGAAGTGTGAGTCCCAGTACCTTTCCCATGGTCTGCTGCTGCTGTGGCCTTTCGGGCCTGCCTTTTGGACGTCTGGTCTGACTCAAGATGTGACCTCTGGGACTGAGACCATACTGAGCCTGCGACCTTTGACTATCTGCTGAACAGACGTGACCCCTACTCAGCCTCAGATTTGACTGTTCGCACAGGACCTAGATGTGACTTTTGCAAAATGACTTTTCATTTCAGTCTGGGCGCGACATTTGCCTTAGGAAAACTTGTCTTTAGGAATGCTGATTCGCAACTCCAGGTTTTGGCCGACTGGGCCCCTTTATGTTGGGGTTGTGACTCGGGGTCTGAATCGTGAAAGCCCTTTTAGGTTAACAGAGTGGCACGACCGACCCCAGAAACTCCCCACCTGCTGGGCCACAGGGCAAAGCGACCCGCCCCGGCTCCGGCCAGCATTGACTAGTCACCAGCTCACCAAAAGACACTAGAGTGCCTTCCACTCTCGAGAACTCCCCAGATCTCTCTGCCAGGTCTCCTGCCCTTACAGCTCGAGTTACAGGACAGCACGACCAAGCCCCAGCACCGACCAGCATCGTTCTGGCCTCGTCTTTTCGCAAACCACCGGGACTCAGGACTAAGGCAAATAACAGTCAAGCCACCAATCGGCACCATAGCTGTAGATGCCATCATCCATCCCCTTCATGCACTGGTTGCAGATATCCCCCTGAACCCTACTCTGACAAGTCTTACCACGATGAAGCCACCATCTCCACCGCTGCTGTACCCTATTTCAACCCTACAGGCTAGCCCCTTCGCCGCAGAGCGTGCCATCTCCCGCCGTCACAGCCACCACAAACCCCTGCCTCCAGCATCGAACCTTGGAAGCTTTTTTCAATCAGGAAAAATTAAGAAACACGGGCATAAAAAATCCCGAAAAATCACATGAACATTTCAGCGCCCACTATTCCCACAGGGAGATGGGAAGAGAGGGAAAAACCACTCTCCCTCCCCATGGAATACTCTGGTGCCTATTGAAGTCTCAGTTACCTATAAAGGGGTCACAAGAGCCAAAGGGATTACTCCTCTCCCCCAAAAGACAACCCTTTGTCTGTTCACTGCCTCCGCGGGGAGGCACCCCCTCACCTCCCTGCCCCCTCGCCTCCCCGCCCCAGTTCAGAACAACCCCCAGAATACCCCTCCTGCTCCTGCAGTCGCATACAGTACCCCCCAAAGTATGCCCCCGCAGAGCCAAAGATCCCCCTTTCCTCCTGCCCCACCCCCTCCAAGCGGAACAGCCCTCTCAACTCTCACCCTGCTGACATCAGCACCTCTTGTCCTCTCTCCCCAACCACCATAGCTGATCCAACCCAAAAATCAGCGTGGCCCCAAAAAAAGACAAACCCTGGGTTAGTGTGACCGTATGATGATAGATCGATAGGGCATGGTGTGGGAAACGTGTTGTCTTTTGCATTGTGAGAAGAGGTGTGTGGTTTTGCGTTTTCCTTTTTTATTTTTTTCCCACCAATTTCCCTGCTCTTCTTTAGTTTGCTTGATAGATATCATCGTTGAACTGAGCGGTTCCAGGTAATTCAGAATGATTTAATTCTGGTGATCTGGTGGTGCGAGGAATGAGCCCCTTCTCGGACATGCAAGTGTTCTCGGCTGCGGCCCCCCAGCAAGCCTCGTGCCCGCCCTAAGTGAAGGCGGGCCTGTACATCCAAGAGAGGCCTATTTTCGACATTTTTCGTATGTGGGGTATCAGACAGTTGCTGCACGCCTGTTGGTTACAGAACAACGTGAGCCTTCTGTGGCTCCTTCCAGAAGCAACAGCTACACTGTACAGTTGAGCCCAGGGCTCAGGTGGTTGCGCCCTGGGCACATGCAGTGGGAGGCCGACACATCATGCAGTGGCCGTGTACCAATGAGAATGCAGCATTGTCGTCACACATCTACCACGGGCCAATGAGAATGCGGCAAACACTTGGAGCCTGGAGGGCTACCTGGAGGTGCCTAACTGCACGAGGCCCAGGCCAGTGTCTGAAACTGGGCCTGGGCGCAGACACTTTGGGCCAACTCGAAGCTACTGTGCCCCTACACGCCAGGCCCAGGCAGGCCAGCGGCAGGCCACACTTTCCACACTTTCCATATAGGAAAGTGTGAGCCCATGGGCGCGGCATTCTGGCCTAGGCAGGCATAACGGCCACACTGCTGCATTGCCAAGCGCTGCTGCGATAGCGCTAGCCGGCCAGACGTGCACGCGGGCGCAGAGAGGTGAGAGGGCCGCTGCGGTGGCAGCAGGTGCACGACGACCATAGCCGGGCTGCGCGTGCGGGAAGCAGGTGATGGCGATGGTGGTCTTCGAGTAGGAGGCTCATGCCGAGGGGAGACAAGGTGTGATAAGGGGAGGATAGAGAATGTACCTGGTGTATGCTGGCGGTCGGCATTGGTGATGACATCACGTACATTGGTCTTCAACTTCGATGTGATCTAGTTGCATGAACGTAGATAGCTGTAGATAGGCTGAGTAGTGTAGGCTGGGTGCTGGGCGCCAGACAGTAGGAGCAACATTGGCTACTGTGTTGGTGTCGCCAGAGAGCGTCGACATTGACATACGAGTTCATTGTATTGCTCTTATTTGGACGGTATCTTGACACATGACTATCTGGACTACTACGTGATTTTGCAATTTGGATTTCTGTCTATTGCTCTCGCTCATATTCCTTGCAGTGGCGTCTGGTTGCGAACTTGGGTCTGTATCTCTGGTCATATGGTGGCCCCAGGAAGCCATCCTCTCATTGTTTGTTTTGGGATCACAAATTTATAAGCTTGCTCTCCCGTACTCCTACAGACTCGTACAGACCTCTAGGACCCTTGGGACTGGGGCCAACTGGGACTCTGAAACAGCGTGAAACCCTGTTACTTGCTCTGCTGCACACGACGAGCTCCAGGATTATAGGCAAACATTCATGAAAATGGAAATTGAGTCCTTTGGGACCTCCGTTAAAATTGGAACGATACAGAGAAGATTATCTTGGCCCCTGTGCAAGGATGACACGCATAAATCGAGAAATGGTCCAAAAATTTTTAAAAAAATAAAAAACTGCTGCGGCCTTCATTACACTACCTAATACACTACACCTATCCAAAACCTCCCAACCCAGCCACCTCCCAACCTTCAGCATCTACTGTACGAGGAAATCCTTCACCAGAATTCAAACAGACCACTCCTTACCTTCAGGCGAAACTTAGAATTCAGAACAGCCCCAGCAACCACAACAGGCGTAAACAATAGCCATGGTATAGAAGTGACGGCCAGGAACAGACTACAGACAAAGACACATTAAGCGAGGGTTTAGCACCAAATACAGGATAAGAGCAGATCCCCAGTAGAACAGGCTAACTTAGGCAGGGGCGAAGAGTGGTACATCCTTCCTTCGGGAAGTAATCAATGCTGTCCTTTGGGCCTCCACACCATGAGGGGGAGGAGCGTGAGTGAGTACTTGTTGTAATCCTTTCTGACTTGCCGGTGGAATAGGAACTGGACTGATGCTCCCCAGAATGGAAAAGGAGCCGAAACCCTGAGGTTCTGTTTGAAAAAAAAAAAAAAAAAAGACTGCTGCGGCCTAGCTCAGTTGGTTGAGCACGCAAGTGGTATTCAGGAGGTTGTGGGTCCGATTCCCCACGGCATCCGTTTGGGCACCCACGGCCTCCGGCAGCACACTTCGGGCTTGCCACCTGAGATAGAATAGACGGTTCGCCTCCCCCGGGCTTGGTAGGGGAAAAGGTTGGCCCCTTTCCACCCGTGCTAGGGGTTATTAGATTCAACCCTGAAGGGGTAGGCTCAACCGGGAAGGCTCAACCGGGAAGGCTCAACCCTGAAGGGATAGGTAGGCTAGGATAGATCGGGGAGGAAATTTTCCCGTAGGCCCACAACTGGACTTAGATAGATATAGGCATAAGGGTAGGTAGTGTGAGGCATATTGGGGAGAAGAATATAGCTTAGTTAAAAAAATAAATAAAGAAAATGCTGCCTTTGTAACTTTGCATGGGTTCCCACTCCTTCGTTCCCAGAGAAGATTCCCGCAGTCCCAGTCCCTATGGGACGTCCGTTGAAATTGGAGCAATAGATACGGAGAAGATTGGCATGGCCCCTGTGCAAAGATGTCACATATAAATCAGAAATGGTCAAAATATTTTTTTAAGAAGGAAAAAAAGGAAAACAAAAAGTTTGCATGGGTTCTGAGGTTGGCATCGTTTTGAAGTGTGCAGGGATAACAAGTCGGTTGAAGCGATGAGGGGTGCTTTCACAAGCCTGCAGCGAGTCCCACAGGAGGTCATCTTTGCATGGTACGCTTATTTATCGTATCTCCACTGTCCATATCATTTGGTTGATTGGGTTGATTGGCATATGGAGACTGTGAAAGGTAATGGATGGGTCAGGCTATGGGTGATGGCAAGCGATCGTCTCTCTTTTCCAGTTGTCTTCTCTTTGATTCAAATGTAGATGCCTTTTGCTTTCTTTCCGTGCCTTCTTTATTTTTGTTTTTATTTTTTTTATGAAGGTTCAGGGTGTAGTAGAGGGTGGTGGCCAGGCCTCAGGAGGTGCCCGTAGTATTCATCGATTGGGAGGTCAGATGGATTGTGAGGACCCAGGGGGAGTCACCTCAGGATGGCACCATGGTACCATGACCTATTGTAATGCTCAGATCGCAAGTCGTGATCTGCACCAATGTCCGTGCCATTTTGTTCCCCTTGCTTTTTTTTAATTTTATTTTAAAGAAAAGAGCTGTTTGCGCCTCATATGGGGGACCACTTCTGTGCCCTACACTGTTCTCTTCTCCCAATATGGAAACAACCTCACACTAGCTACCAGCTACACACACAGTAGTTCTGTTGTTGTACTGCTTGCATAAGATGGACGGTGAGAGTTATGGGTTCACAGCTCCCCTAGCCCCATAGGATTGAGCCATCTCATCAGGGTTGAGCCTCCCCCCTCAGGGTTTGTTTGTTCGGATGTTCCCAATTGAGCACAGTTTTCAGTTTCATTGAGTAAAGTTTTCATCATGAATCTGTAGTTTTTGAGACATCCGTAAACAATGGAATGATTTGGAGAGGATGAGCCTTGGGCCTACACAATTAAGGATGGCGAACATGTATTGAGATTTGGTCCAAGTCCCGCAGTCTCGTATGATTTACTCTCTTCTGGAAAAGTAGCATTTTTAGAAATATGCAGGTATGCTCCTCCGCGACATCCGTTAAAACTTGGAAAGTTACAGAGAAGATTAGCATGACCCCTGCGCAAGGATGACACACGTACATCAGGAAGTGGTCCTTTTTTTTTTTTAAGTGGGTATTTAATATTTATCAAATGCACTCTCCCCCTTTCCCCCCCCTCCGTTTCTTCCCCCTCGTGAACCTTTAGTCAACTTATTTTAGGACCTTTGACATAGTTTTTTTTTTATATTACTCAGTACTGTTTTTTTTTTCTTTTTTCGCGATGTCTAAGTGGCGCCTCTGTATGGCATCCCCCGAACTGTGAGAGGTAGCTATGCTTGCAGGGGTACCCTGTACTAGGCTTAGGAGTACTGGTAGGTAAACACTAAATAGCATACATGCAAGCGCACGTCGTGCGGGCGGTTCCCTACGTGCGGCGCACGTGCCCAACCGATCCCGTGCGGCGCACGACTGTGCGGAGAACGACCCGTCACCCCCCTCAGAAAAAAAAAAGGTCGTGGTCGAAACGGTGCATTTGAGGTCCCCCACCAAAATTATAAGCGAGATGAAAAAAAAAAATTACAGGAGTACTGCCTCACCTTGCTCCTCCTCCCCTTCCTCATCCTCCATGTCTCCTCCTCCCTTCTCCTTTTCGTCTCCTCCTCCTCCTCCTCCTCCTCCTCCTCCTGTTCGTCCTCCTCCTCCTGCCCTTCCTCATCCTCCTCGTCTCCTCGTCGTACTTCCTCATCTTCCATGCCTCCTCGTCTCCTTCCCTTCCCCGTGTCCTCCCTTTCCTCATGTCCTCCCCTTCCTCGCCGTCCATGTCTCCTCCTCCTCCTCCTGCCCTTCCTCTTTTCCCTCCGTCCATCTCTTCTCCTCCCCCATCTGGACTCCTCCTCCTCGTCGTCCTCGCTATCCTCGCTATCCTCGTCGTACTCCTCGTCCACATCCTCCTCCTCCTCTCCATATCCCCCTCTCCTTGCCATGTCCCCATCTTCCTGTCATACGCCCTTGTTCCCCCTCCCAAAAAAATAATAATAAAAATTAAAATAAAAAAACCTGCACGATTCCGCACAGCCCCCCCCCCGCACGGAACTCCGCACGAATGTGCGGCTCGTGCGGTTGCAAGTATGCTAAATAATGAAGAATATAGCTTAAAAAAAAAAAAAAAAACCGACTCTGGTTCTGAGTGGGGATTCGGGCCGCCCGGGTGACCGGCAGGGGCCGGGGGGAGGTCCCGGGCGGCCTGGCCGGGCAGGGCACCCGGTTGGGGGCCGGACCCTTCCAGTGCACTCACCTGTCGGGGGATTTCGGACTCCCTTTCGGACCCCCTGTGTGTGTTTGTGTGTGTGTGTGTGTGTGTGTGTGTGTGTGTGTGTGTGTGTGTGTGTGTGAGAGAGAGAGAGAGAGAGAGAGAGAGAGAGAG